TCAGTGCAGTATTTTTCAAACACAGCTGACAGTGACACACAGACTGAAAACACAGGAAATCTTCTCAGATAAAACGGAGTTCCTGAATCAGCTCCTCCCTTCTTCTGAAAACTAGAAAACTCCTCTCATCAGACAAAATGGCGTTTAAATTTCTTTGCTGCCTCAAGAAATTGCATTGCTGCCCCCTAATGGTAATTGAGCGACATTACATCTGAAGAAAACGTAATTCGCTGTAAAATGACAGCCTCTTTACCCTTAAAGAACACTCGAGCACTGGCAGCTTTGTTTTTTGAGGGTTTTTTTTTTTTGTAGAAATATTACATTTCAATAAACAAAATATGAACCAGGAGGACACACATACATCTTTAAACAAACATAAATACATATGCACCAGAGTGAAGTTAGTGAGTATTTTTTTTCTTCAACAGTTTTCCTTTAGGTTTGAACAGCAGAGACTTCCTTTGCTCCTCTTGTTGTCTAGTCTCAATCAGTTTGTCCTTCCACACCTGGATCCCTTTGTCCATTTCTGAGTTCAGCATCACAACACGTCGCTTTGGAAGAAAGCATTTTTTATTCGACCAATAATCAGATGGAGAATGATGACATGTGTAGAAAAATACATAGGATACTCACAGCTAAATCTTCTCTCTCCTTCTTCCGCCTGAGCTGGCCTTTCAGAGGCGGAGCTGGTCGTCCATCTGCGTACCACAGATGCATTTACACACAAACTCAATTCGTAGTTTTCACTTTGCTCCAATAATGACATTACTTTTTACATAAAAAGTCAGTAAATTGTAAATTGCTTGTAACAGTAAAAACTGACAACATACCAGCAAATGACCAGTCAGGCAGATCTGTCAGAGGTCCGTACTCTGAGTTACTTCGTGCAAGACCATGTCTACAAACAAAATCATTGTTACATGCTACAAGAATTCATCTTTCGAGGGGGTTAATATGATTCAAAGTTAAACAAACGTACAGTAGGTTTCACTACAGAAAGATAAAACATTAGTACATCCCTCCATTTCTGTCAAGCAAAATTAAGAAAATTATATTTTTTATATATATCTTTTGTGCCAACAGTTTTATGATTTTTTTTAATTTAATGCAAGTAATATTGTGTCACATTAGTAACATGTTTTCCCCTTCATGCCACTTTGCAACAACATTTTTTTCTCTATAATCTGAGGAAAAGTCTTTGAATTAACACAGACAATAGTACTGTGTAAATAGAGTCACTCAGTGTAACAGTACTGTTACTTACTCTATCCTCCACTTCTGTCCAGCCTGAATTGAACATGTAGTGCTGAAGTGTCTACTTTGATTCCTAAACGCTGTAAACACACATAAAAGGAGAGAAAACACAAATCAGAGAAACAGAATAATTCAAAGTCTACTACTACCACCAGGTAGTACCATTTTGTTGTTAAATGAAATAAAGAACAAGGCAACCAACACTACAGTGAAACAAAGTCATTCGAATCAGTCATAACTTGACTGTGGCTAACTTAGCCTTTAGCATTAGCCAAGTGTCCGATTGATAATATTACGGAAAGACAACACAGACGATACCGTAAACGGTTCCAAATAAGAGAGAGCAGACATTGTTAGTAAGATGATTGTGTGTGTTTAAGACCCACGGACGAGCAAACAGTAAATACAGTTAGATAACATATAAAACGACAATATTACCCGAACGGCACAGTGTCCTTATGGCGGCCGCCATCTTTATCTGCATTCAAACAGTTGACCAGCAGGCGGTGCCGAAGACGCAGCAACATCGACGTCTCGAGGAGTGTATTATGAGTTTTTTAAAAATGTATTTTTGATTTATTTAACAAAATGCTTTTAAAGGAAGAGGTTCCACCTAATGATAAATGTGTTCAATGTCCTTAAAACACCAGAATGAGCCATCGTTAATTAAATAACAAGCAGGTCTTCTTTCTATAGCCGCCATTGATTTTTACATTAGGTTACTGTGGACCAACTAAAAAGCTGTTAAATAAAACAGAAGGCTACAACACGGTCCCGTATATAATAAGTCTAGAATGGTGAGATGCCAAGTTTGT